AAATTTGCTTATTTTGATTTTTTTTTTTGTCTTTTTTTGAAATATGTTTTTGTAAGAAAATTTCTGAAAACATGTTTGGTTACAAATTCACAAAAAAATTTCAAAATTACTTTTCTCTCCATTAAACATCAATCAATCATTTTTTCTCTCTCCTCTCTCATTTTCAATCACTTTTTCTCTCACACACATTTACTCGATTACAACAAAATATCAAATTATCTCATACTCCAAAACTATTTTTAAAATATATAACCAAATAAACTAAAAAAAATTTTAGACTTTCTCCTCAATTTTTTTTTTTGAAAATTTATTACAAAACACAAACCAAATACACCCATAATTTTTTAATTCATCTTGTCAAGTTGAATTTAAAAATCTAAAACTTTCTAAAAAAATTCAAAAAAAAAAACAAAAATTAACTTCCCAAAACGCCCTTTACTTTTGGATTTGAACGGCCTGCAGTGTGCTAGCCCAACTCGACGGTCTAGATCAACCCATTATGAACTTATTTTGGGTCCATCTTGATAATATAAATTGATAGAATTTGTTGAGTTTTTTATTGTTGTAAAAAATTATATTGATCGAATATTAATAACCACTTAATCAGATTATATTTGTGTGAATAATTTATTTTTAAAATCATAATTATTTAATCTAATCAAGAAATATCATATTCACTCAGAATAATTTTTTTTATAGAATAAATGTTTTTATAGAATTATTCAAATTATCAATGTCAACTATATGGTGGAGCCTCCCTTCCTATAAATTGGGTTAAATCAAAGTATGTAGACTGAGCCTACATACCTCGAACTTCCTTTTTTTTTATAGTTCCAAAAAAAAGAAAACTATACGGTGGAGCGGAGTCCAAGCACTGTCCAGTCCAATTTTGGACGGGAGAGAAGCCACTGCCTTACTTTTCACGTTAAGATGTGATTCTTGAAATCATATTTGGCAATTGATTGAGAGAGAGAGAGAGAGAAAGAAGATGAAGCTGAAAGTCTACACCTATCGATTGTCGCAGCCATCTCGTGCAGTTCTCATCTTCTGCAAGTAATCATATCTAGTTCACTTCACTGCCCTCAATTTTACCAATTAAATCGATTTGGTTCTGGTTTTGTATGAAATTATGCTTTTGTTTCTCTGTTCTCTCACTTAAATTTACGTGTGTGTTTATATTTCTTCTGGGTATTGTAGGTTGAATGGAATTGATTTTGAGGGTGTATGGAGGGGAGCCAAATGCAAGACAGCTGTAATAAAATATCTGCAAAAGCAGATGAACAGTAGTCGGTTGCCCAAAAATGCCATTTTGGCAAAAGGGAGTGCCGACAGGCAACAAATGGTGCCGACCGGCAATATATATTGCCGATGGCAGCAAAAACCAGTCGGTGGCCTCTGGCCATGGCCGGTGGTGTGTGGGGATGCGTCACAAGGCATTCCCTGCCCCTCCAAGGCAAAACACAAGTGTTTGGTGCAAAACCAGACACTAAACAGTCAAGTTCGGAGATCCTGAGGCAAGGCGCGTAGCCGAGACCTCCGGGAACTCCAAACGAACACAAACAAGGGTAATCACCAAGTGTTCCAATGGTGACGTCCAAGTCTTGAGGACGGTAAAAAATGGGGTGTCTACATTTCCATAGTAAACATTAAATAATCTCACAACTCATGTTCGTAACTCGTAATTCATATACCAATTAGCATGGAGATAAAGTAACGAGTTCGTTAGGTTACTTTCTCCAAGTAACACCCAAAATTAACTGCCACTTGGATTATATACAAAATGCATGTGCTGGTGTGTAATTTTGCAAACCCACTTGGACAAAATTCGTATTTTACTCGAAATATAATACTAATTTATCGACACAAGTCATAACAAATCAATACGAAGCGAAACACATCGTTAGTTGATAAACCACACCGCAAAAAACCCTTCAGTTAGATCCAATCAAATATGGAACAGAAACAAGCAACCCGCAATAGGAATCTTGGAATACAGACATAAGCCAATTTCCCACCCCAAACAATACACAGACAACCCATATATATCTCACCTCACCTTCAATTAGTTTTGAAAATGACAAGTTACTGCAAACACAAATGACAACATCACTCTAAACAATATGGGAAATTTACAACTCGTGGCCTTGTACATAAGTAACGTTGTGCCATTTCCTGGCATTGTACATAACCAATTATTTACACGTTACGTACAACAATCCGTGCAAAATGAAAACTACATACATTATTTCCATGTGTTTTCAATAGCTAGTACTGTCTACCTAATAAATTAAGGGAATAATAAATCATACAAATTATACAATTACCTGATTCACCTCAGCAATTGTGTTCGAATCATTTTTCCACACTGCTGCTTCAACACAACCGTATTGGCCCACAGGCTGCTTGGAATAAGGAGAAACATCGAAAAATAGTCGCCGTTGCTTAATGTGCGATGTACTTGGATCCACCAACCCAATTTTGCAGCGAACGGGCAATGACTCCGCATTGTACTCACGGTCAGCTATGTGGGGTGTATCTGCATCTGAGTTAGTACCCACTGTTCGGCTAAACCGAACCTTAGGACACGTTCGCTTTGTGTGTCCAATGCATTTGCAATTCCCACATTTTTTTGGTCTTCGACAGTTGGACGAGGCCCGTCCTGGGTTCCCTTTTGTCTTCACAATATCAGGATCTTCTACTCCAAATTGTCGACGGAATGAATGTTTCCCTTTGTCTCCATTCCCACCGTTCAAATTCCTCTCATATAACTCCTTCATCCGGCTCGTCATCGGAAGACATGCATCCCTAGCCTCTTTGAAACCTTCCGTTGATTGCGAGGCATAGAAACACATTTCGTTGTAGGAAGAACACAATATCCCATACCGGGCCATCTGTGTTATAGTGCGATCAATTGAGGGTTGAGGCCATTGCTGGCCATCCTTGCGTGCAGCCCTTGTCCATCTATACAACACACAAGGTGGGGGAATTTGCGTTAATTTTCAGCTTTCATAACACATATCATGTGGCAACAAGGTAGCCCCAACGACTCAAACTTCATGCAAGAACATCTCATTGCAGCATCCACTGGACTGTGTGTTACTATCCATGATCTGTCCTTCACTCTGTACTTATGAATATAGTAGCATTTCTGACCATCCGGCAAAGGGAACACATCCTTCACATTCAACTTCCCCTCTTCTAAGATTTCATCACGGAACATTCTAAATATATTTCGGGTGAATAGCTCAGCTCCATGTCTCTCTATATCTCGCAATGGAGTAATCAATACCGGAAAAGTGTTATTTGTTTCAGCATCATCTCCAGCCTCGTTATACCTTATCCTTGCAAGAGCCCGATCATAGTGCCTAACAAATTCATATAGCTTCAATTTGTGTTGGAGGAAGGGATTGAAATAAGCATTCATACACTCCGAGCACTGAGTGCTCTTCATCCCAGCAAAGAAATGTCCACGCATATATGCCTCAGCCCACATATGACGCTTCTCATATGTCTCCAACACCCAACTGTTGGTTTGAAGTCCAAAATTTTCGACCATTGTCGTCCAGCCATGCTCAAACTTTGTCTCATCCGTTTCCATGTCCATGCACTGCTTGAAAGCATGTGCAAAGCCACTTATGTGAACATTTGAAACAACATTTTTCCCAAGATGCCAATTACATAATCGATGTCTTGCATCTGGAAATACTCTTCTGATTGCCTCTCGCATCGACTTATCCCCATCTGTCAGTACGGACACAGGTGCTTTATTGCCCATCGCCTCCATAAATGTTTCCAAAACCCATGTGTATGTCTCAATTGTCTCATTAGCTAGCAAAACACATACAAATATCGTGGTCCTAAAGTGGCTAGTCACACCAGCCAACATGACAAAAGGCTTCTTGTATGCATTGGTTCTGTAAGTTACATCACCAAACTTTGCATAGTCGGCCCGCGATTTCGAATCTGCCCAGAACAGATTTTGTAACTTGTTATCATTACACACATCATACTTGAAAAAAAAACGTGCATCAACATCAAGTTTTGCGCATAGGTAAACCAACGCACCCTGCGCATCACCATCCTCAACTTCTGCTCTCCGTTCGGCTTGAATATGGTTGTGCAGATCCATATGGATGAAACCAACATTCTCATAAGACCCGGACTGATTTATCATATAGTCCATGATTTGGCTAGTCTTCACACCGACATTGCGCATAGCCATTGCTTGAGCTTTGTCACCGCTGTTTAAACTGCGATGTGACCTCAGATACATCACACAGTGTTGTTCCGCCAATTCATGGTTGTGGTCTGCGACAAAGTGAGTCACAACATACTTTCCCCCTTTACCAGCATCCGCATCGTACCGTATGCGAAATTGGGCTTTACAACCTACTCTTGTTACTGCACATGACATTACTACAAACAATTACTTGATGACCGAAAATTGTTAATCCAAACACAAACATGACATTTTCACATGGTTTAACTGTTTGTGCAAACACAAACACTCACTTCAAAAAGAGAAAGAGAAAGGTTAGCTGCCAATGGAGGGGTTTCCGTTGGAGCGAAGCGTAGAGCGGTTGAAATTAGGATGGGGGATTAATTGAGGGAAAATAGCTGAAGTGAACGGGCCAGAGAGACAGAGAGGGAGACAGAGAGAGGGAGACAGCTCCATACCTCATATCTAGTTCAAGTGAAGGGCTTCACTTCAGCAATGGAACCAACACAGCCTTGTAGTTACGTTGTTGTTGGAAATCGCCTGTTATACTGTTCCCTACAGAGCTTCGTCAATGGAACGAACCCAACAGGGGCTTCTTCCTATTAATGGAAATCAACAGTTACACTGACTCAACCTTACACAGAGAGGAGAACACAGAGAGATAGAGACGAAATACAGAGAGTGAGTGGGATGCAATCATGCAAATACAAGCATTAACCGGTTGTCCAGGTTTCAACTTTTTCATGATTAAACAATTCAATGGTCTTGATCAATTATTGTAATCTAACGGCTAACAATTGGGTTGCATATGGTGTGCAACCTTAAGGGGGTTGCACACTTAAGCAGAGCCCGTAATAGGTATGTGAAAAGTTGAAAATAGTGTGTATATGGGAGAAGTAAAAAAGACTTGAGAGAATTCAATAAGTGTTGAGTTGTTGTTGTTGTTGTTTTTTTTTTTTTAAATCACAAAATTAAGAAATTGAGGTTGAGATATTGGACCTCTCATAAGGCTTGTGGGTTAAAAATTTCTTTTTTCTTATATAAGATACTAGTGGTAACCCGTACTATGCACGAGACTTTATAAATTAAAAAAATAATCATTATAAATATGTTAAAGCAATTTAATATTTTATCTTGTGGTATACATGATATTTATAAATTAATTTTTATGTTTATAACTTTTTAAATTATTAGTTTAAAAAATTTAAATATATATATATATATATAAATCTATTTAGTGCAACTTTGACAATTTGTAATATAAAAACAAAGAAAAAGTCAAATCTAATTAAATGAGGTTACTTAAATGAGGTTACATTAGTTATGATATACCTCTTCTTGTTATGAAAATATACAAATTTAAAAGTTATAATTAAGATAAGAATAATCCTTCGTAGCTCGAATCTCTCTTACCCGACTGCCCAAAACGACGTCGTTTTGGGCAGTTTCTTTTTTTTTTTTTTTTCCCTCCTTATGTCTGAAACAGAGGAGAGCAGAGAGAAGAGAGAGGAAGAGGAAGATGGAGAGAAAGAGAGAGAATGAGAGAAAGAGAAGAGAGGGGAAGAGAGAATGGAGAGCCTCCGTTTTTTTTTTCCAGCCCATATCTGGAAATGATGAAGATGATGATGGTGAAGATGTGAAAATAGTGGATCTGGATCTGAAAATGTGTTGATGATGATGATGGTGATATTGATGAAGATGTTGTTATTGATGATGAAGATGTTCTGGATCTGAAAAATGGTTGGTTTTTTTTTTCCCTTCTGGATCTGAAGTTGAATGGTTGTTGATGATGATGTTGATGAAGATCTGAAGATGAATGGCTTATTGGGTGGTTGATGATGATGATTCTCTCTCTTTCTCTCTCTCTCTCTCTCTCTCTCTGCTACTCTCCTCTTCTTCTTTCTTCTTCTTCTTCTTCTTTCTTCTTCTTTTTGGATTTTTCTTCTGCCAATTATTGAAAAAGAAAAAAAATTCAAAACGATGAAACGATATCATTTTGAATTCGGGCTAAATTCGAGCTCGGCAGTTTCGAGCTATGTAGCATAACTGTTAAGATAAATATAAAATTTTATTATTAAATGTGAAATGAAGTGATATTTAACAATAGTTGATATGATGTTTCTGTTATTAATCTAATAATTTAAGTTACATTTCTTTTGGTTTTAATTTCATAACTAAAAATACAATATGAATGTAATATGCACACAGATTTCTAGTCTTTAAGAATAAGAAGGTTTTAGAATATTTTTAACCTTTCATCATTTTCTTTTAATTTTTTTTATCTAATTTGATTTTAGACTTGAATAAAAAAAAAATTGATTTGATATGGATTATTTTATCTTTTTTATTAAATTTTTATCAATTTTTAAAAGGACTTTTATTCTTATCCCCCCCCCCACCTCTTTTTTTCTTTCTTTCTTTTCATCAATTTTGATGAAGAAAAAAATAATAATTTTCAATGCTTCATCTTTGTAAATTTTTATCAAATTATAATTCAATAAAAAAAATATTAAATGTTGAAAATTCTATTAATTGGAATTATAGTGAAATAACATCTTGAAATAGTAAAAATTTGAGTATGTGGTTGGTTGAAATGTATAATTTGATTAATTCTCTTCTCATATTTGTATAAAAATTGACACTTATGACCACACCATTATGGCTACGTTTGTTTAGTGGATTAGGTTGGATGAGATTGTTACTGAGATGATAGTTAATGAAGAGATTGTTAATATATGAATTGTTAGTGAGGGGATTAAGTAAAAGTATGTTTGATTTGATGATAGTATGAGAGATGGTTAGTGATGAGATTGTTAAATTATTTTTATATAAAATAAATTAATAAATTATTTTTATATTAAAAAAATTAAAACAAATATTAAAATAAATAGGTGCACTTGGTAAAAAAAATAAAATTTTTATATAAAATAGACTCAATCCCCTCACTATTTCGTAATCTCACCTAAAACCCAGCCAAGCTAATCCCCTTACTGAGGGAGAATATATATATATATATATATGTGTATATAATAAATAAAATAAATAAATAATTTAGTTTAATCAAAAATTTCAAGCCCGAAATTAAATTTCAAGTCCAAAAAAAAATCTCAAAAAGTTAAAAAAAATAAAATAAAATAATTTTTTTTTGCCGTTGACCGGTCAACCGGCCGGACGTCCGACCGGTCAACTTGCCGGTCAATCCGTAAGACAAAAAAACACTTCCCTTCCCAGCTACAACGCTCGCTGCAACGCTCTCTGCAAATAACACACATGTTAACACGTCCATTATGAGATCCAAACATTACTGTAGCTAGCTAAATTTTGGCCACTGACACTAACACCATCACTAACACATCCATTGTGGATGCTCTTAGACTATTAATCTGCTCTCCCATTTCACTACCAAACATGCTATGGGTGGGACCCACAACCATGGTAATCCAATCCGGCCACTCAAGTCACAAAACAAACATGGCCTATAAGTCAGATTATGGAAAGTTTTTTGAGGTGTCAAATATTTTTCATTTGTAAATATCCTATCTATTAAAAAAAAGAAAAAAAATAAAAGAAAAAGGAAAAAAATATGCAGCTTTTGGATTTGTGTTTATCAATTTTGTTTTGTGGACATAAACAACTGATATTTCAATTTAAAAAAAAAAAATAGATTGAATTTTTTGGGGATAAAAGAAGCCATCTAATTGCTCTATATACTATTTTAAGATAGACTATTTTAATCATATAAAAAAATAAAAATTATATTTGGAGATTATCCCTATATATTATATTATTATACACAACTATAGCAGTAACAAATTTACTACAATATATATAAAAAGTTATAGTAAGCTTTCATTTTGCAATTAATTGAATTATAATTAACAAACTAACGATAAAAGAAGCCATCTAATTGCTCTATATACTATTTTAAGATAGACTATTTTAATCATATAAAAAATAAAAATTATATTTGGAGATTATCCCTATATATTATGTTATTATATACAAATATAGCGGCAATAAATTAACTGATATATATGAAAAGTTATACTAAGCTTTCATTTTCAATTAATTGAATTATGATTAACAAACCAACAAATAGCAGTAATGGTATAATAAGATATAAAGAGGATAAAAATAAAAAATACAATGATATTTAAAAGTTTTAAATTTACCTAGTTATACAAAAATCTAATGTTATAATACAATCTTGAATTCTCAATAAATTTTCACATTTTCTATAAAATAAAATGACAATAAAAAAAAAAAATCGATATCCATTTTTTTGCTTCAATTTTACAGTTTTCATTGAAAAAAAATAAAAATCCAATCAAAATCCTTGACACATAATAGGTATAGATACTTCGATTGCAACCATCATCACCAATAATTTTTTTCCACCATGTAAACCTGCAAACAAACACATAAATCTCACTAAAACCGAAACCGAAACCGAAACCAAAACCAAACCAACAACAGAAAAAGAGAATCACACAGAGAAAAAAATAAAATTTAAAAACAAATAAATTTATGGAGTGGTAGGATATTACCCGCAATAACTTAGATCTCGCTTCGCCTAATCTGTTAGCTCCTTCGGCAGTGCTTGCGAAGTCTAAGAGTTGGGATGACTAATTAGATTATTCTTTAAATAAGACTTAAAAATTAATGAATTTGTTCCATTAAGTGATTTAAAATTTTGATAGATATATATCAAACAAATAGATAATTATATTATTAAATCATAATTCAAATATAAATATTGTCATATTTTTTTGAGATCTATATTTAAATTCTTATATTCTTTATTTCTGTGTAGTTTCTATTTTTTTAAAAAAAATTTATTTAAGATGGAATTGTGAGTTTATATTTTTTTAAATTTAATTTATCTATGGTTTCTATTTGTTTTTAATTTTTATTATTTAGGTAAGTTATGATGTGAGTTAGACATATGAATTACATATGAGTTTTACTGATTTAAAGTATGATGGTGTGAGATATATTATATTTGTTTAGATAGACTTTAAAGATTTTTAAAATTTAAAATTGGATATTGAGAGGCAAAAGAAAGATTTTAAATGAATAAATAAAACTTATATTTATTAATTTTATCTGCTTATATATCTGATTTTTTATTATTTTTTTTGTGTTATAATATAATATATAAGATATAGATAGATATCTACAATTTTCATAAAAAATATTATTTGATTTTTTGAGAGAGAAAAAAGGAAGACAAGTTTTAATTTTTTTTTTTTAGAAATCGATGAGAGAAATTAGAATGGAGAGATTATAAATGATTTTTTTAGAGAGAAAAAAGGAAGACAAGTTTTAATTTATTTTTTTTTTGGAAATCGATGAGAGAAATTAGAATGGAGAGATTATAAAATATTTTTGTTATCTTTCCATTTGAAATCATAAATTACTAGCCTATCACCCGTGCTATGTACGGAATAATTATAGATATTTATATTTGTTTTAAATTTTTTTAATATATAAATTATGTTTTTTAAAATTTTTTATAAAAATAATTTAACAATCTTATCACTAACAATAGTGTATGGGAGAAGTTGAAAAGGGTACTGTACTAACTATATACGGATTGTATCTATAATTATTTGTATGAGTGGATTTTAAATGCTAATCAGGGAATTTTGACCAAATCAGTAAATGCAGGCATATGGAAAGACATGTGGATTGAAAAAAGTTAATAAACGCTGATCAGGGGGATTTTGACCAAATCAATAAATGCTGAGTTTTTTTTTTTAATAAAAAATTTAGAAAATTTAGATTGGGATATTGAAGCTCCTACAGGCCTTAACTTCAACAATCATATTAAAAAAAGCAGTGGCTTTGGTCCAGTCCAAGATCGGGATAATTATAGATATTTATATTTGTTTTAATTTTTTTTAATATATAAATTATGTTTTTAAAGATTTTTTATAAAAATAATTTAACAATCTTAGCACTAACCATAGTGTACAGGATAAATTAAAAAGGCTACTGCAGTAACTATGCACGCGCTGTATCTATAATTATTTTTATGAGAGAATTTTAAATATTAATCAGGGATTTTGACCAAATCAATAAATGCAGGCATGTGGATTGGAAAAAGTTAAAAAATACTGATTAGGGAATTTTAACCAAATCAATAAATACTGAGATTTTTTTTTAAATCAAAAATTTAGAAAATTAAAATTGAGAGATTGGAGCTCCCACAAGACTTGGGATTTAGAAATCCCATTTTCCTTAATATATTTACAATTATCTATATATATGTGAATTGCGATTTTTAAATATATATATATATATATATATTTTTAAATGTCTTATTTTTTTCTTTTTTATATTATATTAAAGTTTAATATTTTGATAATAATCATATGTGTTGGACTTTTCAAGAAATTTTTTTATACTTGTTCTTAATGCATTAAAGTGTTATTATGAGGGATAATAATCATATGTGTTGGGACTTTTCAAGGAATTCATATGTTTGTAATTTCAAAGAATTTTTTTTATACTTGTTCTTAATGCATTAAAGTGTATTATGAGGGTAAGACTTGGGTTTCGGAGAAGTTAATAAATGCTAAGGTTTTTTTTTTAAATCAAAAAATCAAGAAATTTAGGTTGGGAGATTGGAGTTCCCACAAGAATTAGGGTTAAAAACCTCATTTTGCTTAATAAATAGTATAGATAGATAGAGGGATAATTATTATTTCTAAAATAATTAAATGAGTAAGTGAGAGAAGTTGAAATGGTGTGTACAAGAAGTCAAAAGGCATGGGAAAAGTCAATAAAATACTGAATTTTTATTTTTTTTAAATCAAAAAAAAAAATTAAAGATTGAGACATTAAAATTTTCACACAAGATTTATAGGTTAAAAATTTTATTTTTTATATAATATGTAGATAGAATAGATTGACGATATATAGATATAGATTTCTGGTTTTTTTTTTTTGGGGGGGGGGGGGGGGGGGGGGGGGACATAGACATAGATGAATCAATGAAGTTAACACCACCACCTCACAACAAATCATCACAATGGACAAATCACAATAGCCAAAATCCACAATAACTTGTCTTTACAATCACAGCATGTGCACACAGAAAAGGGGAAAAAGCGTGAAGACTACGCACATGTTTCCATTCCTAAATCTTAAACCAAGACAATTTAACCTCGTAAACCCCAAATGCACAAAACAAACCCCTTTTCGTATAACGCGTCTCGTCGTTCAAAAACCATTATCGCACTCATACACATACACAGCCCAGCCAACTCTCTGTCTCTGTCATTTCCTTTTCAAGGCCTCTGTTTCCCCCATCCCCTTGCCCTAATCTCTCTCTCTCTCTCTATCTATATACATATATATACATATATTTATACAAACAACTACAGGTATTGGTGGTGGTGATGGCGGTGACAATGCATGTCAAATCGGACTCGGAGGTGACGAGCATAGACGCGTCGTCGCCTCCGCGATCGCCACGGCGGCCGATGTACTACGTGCAGTCGCCGTCGCAGCACGATGTGGAGAAGATGTCTTACGGTTCGAGCCCCTTCGCTTCTCCGCACCACTACCACTGCTCTCCGATCCACCACTCTCGCGAGTCCTCTACCTCTCGCTTTTCCGCCTCCCTCAAGAACCCCGCCGCCTGGAAGCGGTTGCAGCGGCGGCACCACGACGGCGACGAGGACGATGGTGGTGGTAGTGATGATGATGATGATGAGGGGGATGGTGAGGGGGACGGTGGTCAGGTTATGAGGTTCTACGTGGTTTGCTTTGTGTTGTCGTTCGTGGCGCTGTTTACGATCTTCTCTTTGATTTTGTTGGCTGCTAGCTCTCCTTACAAGCCTAAAATCTTTGTCAAGGTCAGTTTTTTTTGGCTCTAGACTGTTTTCTTTCCTACGAATCAACTCATTAGTGACTCGGAAGTCTTTTGAATGGACTCACCAGTCAATCACCAGTCACATTTTATTATTTATTTTTGGGGGTTAATTTCACTTTTATTTAGTATTTTAAATTTTAACCAAAAGTGGTTGGCCTAACGGGGGTAACGATTACGGTCGGAGGGGTTCGGATCTCTTAATCAATAAATGAATATTTCAGTGGCCAGGACTGCAAGGTGTAAGCGTGTTTCGGAAGGCGGAGTGGTAGGGATTTAAGAGTTGCTTGGAATAAATTAAAAGAAAAAATTAAAAAATTGAAAAGTTACTAAAAAAAAAAAAAGTTAAAAATCCTATGCCATTGGTCCCGTTTGGTGTAACTGTTAAAACAGCTTATAAATTATAACTTAACAGATTATAGATTATGACTTTAATCAGAAGTTAATCTATTTCGGTGTAACTGTTGGATTATAGATTTAAGTTGCTGAGCAGTCTTTGTTAAATAAATTATGAAATAACTTTTTTAATTAATTTTTATTTTTTGTTTGTCTACATTTCTCATAAAAAATAATACTAATAATAATCTATAGTCCATTTGAGTCTTTTTCTATTTTTAAAAAAATAAAAAATAAAAAAATTTAAGAGTATAATCATAAATTAACATGTCCACAGCAGAAGCTGATAATCAAAAGCAAGGGGTGAGCAAGAATCAGCTTTTTTGAGTTAAAATAAACTGTTAGAATCAGAAGTTGTTTGAAATAAATTTAACCAAACAGTCTAAAATAACTTTTTTAAAACTAAAAATTATAAGTTGAATTTAAAAAGTTGAAACAAACACCTTAATTCAAGATAGCTTGTGGGAAGTCACTAGGGCCAAATAATTAAATTCAACTATTCAAAAATTTAAAAAGTCAAAAGAGTGAAATTATCATTTTAATTTTATTATAATATTTTATTATATATTTTTTCATAAAAAATTAAAAAATTATTTCAAACATACATTTTTTTTTTTTTTTTTATCGTAGGTGAGGAGTGAGTGGTGGAGGTAGGTTTGGTGGAGTGTAGTAGGTGATAGGAGTGAGTGGTGGAGGTAGGTTTGGTGGAGTGTGTAGTAGTAATTTACATTTACATTAACAATCTCACTGCATACTCGGCATACAGTTGTATATCTATATGCTTTAACCTCGTTATCATTCCAAATGCCTTGGGAAACTCCGCAGTTAAATGTGCTTGGACAATAGTGGTATTAGGATGGATGATTCTTAGGAAGTATTCGTGTTGTATCCCTTTTATCTCTTTTTTTTTCTTCTAGTATATCCCAAACAACCACTTAGTCTAAAGCGTATAAGTTGGCCCAGCATACCTTACATATTAAAAAAAAAAAAAAACAAAAAAATTGTTTCAAACTTTTCTATTATAAATTATCTTAAATTATGCAACCAAGCTTTTACTGTACAAATCAATTAATTTGATGGATGTATAATTATATGTTAAATTATTCAAAATTTAAAATGAATTTTTTGGATAATCAAATTAGGCTAGTTTATTGTTGATTTATGCAATCGTGAACAAATTGAAATCGGACATTTAAGAACTGAATGGATGAAATTAATAATTTATTAATAAAATAAAAATGGACACAGATAGGGATGAAATGAATTTTTTTTTTTTTTAAATTTTTTTTTGAGTTGTGATGGTGTGTGTTGTAGAGCATGGTGTTCCAGAACTTCGACATTCAGGCGGGAATGGATCAGACAGGAGTACCGACTGATATGCTGACTCTGAATTCAACGGTCAGGATTTTTTACAGGAACCCGGCGACTTTCTTCGGAGTTCATGTGACGTCTACTCCACTTGAGCTTCACTATTACCAGCTCAAGCTTGCTACTGGATATGTAAGTCCATTTTCCACAATACATACACATACATATATATATACACGCATATATGCACATCACTAATGTCTTTTGTTCAAATTTCTAGTGCAAATTCACTTTCAACGATGAATCATTTATGAGTAAGGTACATGGTCTCGCTTTGCTCAGTTGGAGCTGAGTTGGTACTTATCAGGTTGGCCTGTCTCAAAACACTCAAAAATCATGAAACTTCAAAAGTTTAAAAAATCTCTAGATTTGATGCAACAGTTTTGAATGTTTTTGGAAGAGAGAGAGAAAGAGAGAAGAATTTAGGGTTATTTCACTTTTATTCATCTATAAACTATTGGTTTCATTTCACCTATTTAGTTCCTAATTTTTTAGTTGTCTGAATCAGTACATTAAAGCCTAATTTGATAGGTGAAATGGTCATTTCAAATTTTGAATGACTTAAATTATATGATTAAACACTCATTTTTTTAATTCACTATTTTGAAATGAGGCAAGGATGAGAATATAGGAGTGTTTGGTTGTAAGATGTAAGTGTTCAATCCAGTGTATATAAGAAGATAGGTTTTTGGGTTGTACTTTATGATTTTGGTTTTTGAAATTGTAAAATCACCTTTTTGGCCTATTTTGGGAAGTAGGTTAAAAATTAATTTTTTAACTTTTGTTGAATTTCTTTTTTAAAAAGATACAAAAAAATAGAGAAATGATGCGACTCAAAAAAGTCAATGTCTAACTTTTAACCCATATGCCAAAAGGGGCCTTTGTTCATTTGGTTAGGTTTCAACTATTATCGCTGAGGACGGATTTATCATTTCTAAAATCAGGAAATTTAAGTATTAAATAGATAAAATTAATAATTTGAAGAAGAAATAGTAAAACGACAAGAGTTTATAAGATGAAAATGAACTTAATTGAAGAATTGTAGACTGAGTATCTCATGGCACCATTCAGTCCCGTGAAATTATAAAAATCTAAAGATATATTGCAAACTATTTTGAATGTTTTGGAAGAGATAGAAGAAATTAAGACCTGCGTATCTCGTGCCTATTGATTTTTTATAGAGCATTATTATATGTTGCCTAGAAACGTGTGATTTGGAAGGCTGCAAAGACTGCAGCATACTGATGTGGTTCTTCGTTTAGAGAGGCAAATGAGGCCCACTTGGTTGGCATTTATGTGGGGACAGGTGTGGGCCGTGGCATCATGTGCCACAGTTGGGTTAGGTACAATTCTTTCTAATCTTCCTTACATTTATTATAAAATTTGACTAACCCAACTTTTAAAATGGGTTTGGCTAACAGGCTTGAATGATGCCAACATTGATGATCCACCAATAACTTTAAATGCATTCTACCTGATTGGATGGTTTAAAATTTGTTTGATTGTTACAAAAGTACTTCTTTTTTTATAGATGTACTATCAAAATCATTCGAGAAATAATTCCAAATGTACTATCAAAATCATTCAACAAATAATTCGAAGGTATGATCAAACACTATCAAAAACTAATAGTAAAGTAGTTTTGTAGTAGTAAATGATCAAACATAATTCAAGGGTATGATCAAACACTAATAGTAAATAAACTATCAAAAATAAAAAATAAAATATCAATAAAGAATTAAAGCATTGAATTCTAAAAATATGTGAACAATGTAATTATTCAAATTGAATAAGAAGGGAAAGAATACAAATCACGACACGGTGAGAGGTTATGTATTTGCCTCCTTTTGTCAAGATATTTGTAGATAAATTTTAAGGCTCCAAAATACAATACATAAATCTCATTCACGTTGCACAATCGGTAACAGAAAATGAGGGTGTCATATGAATTGATTGTCTAAAAACACTCAGTGGAATAGCAATAGCATTATAGAATGATGTTGATGAGAAAGACTAGTTGTATATTACTATATTATGAACAATGTAATGAATTTGTAGGGTAGCTGTGTCTTTAAAGAACTTCAGGACCACTTGTACAAAAGAAATAATTTTGTAATAGATGCTTTTAGTTAAAAGACATGTCTTTTGGTTTGAAACAAATAGCCACTCTACCTAACTCATATATTCTTGAATGGCACAACAATTGTTGTGATGGAATCGTTTTTTTTTTTCCTTTTCTTCTTTCCATTTAATGCCCAACATTAGTCTTCTAATTAATGTTGTTTTGTTTCATTATCATTTTGAATTAGATGAAAAAGTTCTATCAATCAAGGAAGAGTCAGCGGATGGTAATGACTCTGGTTTTGGGACATCAAGTGCCGTTGTATGGTGGTATTCCACTTCTTAGTGGGGCTATTAGTCACCTCGAGAGTGTATCAGTGCCTCTTAATCTGACGTTTGTGATGAGGTCAAGAGCCTACATCTTGGGAAGGCTGGTTAAGCCCAAGTTTTACAGGAGTATCATATGTGGAGTCGTTTTACAAGGCAACCGACTTGGCAAGCATCTCAATTTGACAAACTCTTGCATCTATAATGATTGATAATACACTTTTGATAGTGTGGATGTAGTTTAGGCATTTGTAATGGGCAGCTTATTATTTTTAGAATGAGTGCCTTTTGAATCGGTTGTAATTGCCTCGTGGTATTCGTAAGGTTTATGATAGATTATTGGCTTGCATGAAATGTACTTGAGATTTTTGGGTAGTTCTGAAAAAAAATAGTGTAATTTTGATTGTAGCTTGATTTATGAAGAATGTAATATTGACATGCCCCGTACTAATGAAGTTTTTGTGTAAAATGAGGTTACTTGTGTGAAGCAAATGTTCCTTTTCATTCTTTTCTTTATTGTTTTACAGATAAATATAATCACTTCTGTTAGGTTTTTATTCTTGGCAATCCTGTTTGACAAAATTTCTTTAAGTTGTATTTATTTTCGCACTTTTTATTTTAGTATTTAGATGCGAATCCAACCCGAATTGTGTATTTTAGAGAAGTTTGTGATGTTAGTACTTTCAAGATTACCACTTCGCTGATTATGACGGAGATCGAGCTGCCCGGTTAGCTCGCGGGGGTCCAGGGGGCAGCGCCCCTTTGCGGTCCAGGGCAGCGCCCAGGCGTGGTTGAGGGACAGCGCCCCCGAAGCAAAATGCAAAATGGCATTTAAAGTTGCCTGTCCGCCCTTGCTCGCTCGAGCGAAGGTTGCATCTGTGTAAAAGCCTGAAAGAGATGAATGTACGCTCGAGCGAAGGGTGCGTGGCTCGAGCGAAGCCACTTATGAAAAACACGCGTTTTTGGTTCCTCGCTCGAGCGAGAGAGTCTTCGCTTGAGCGAGTATCGCGATTCAGATTTCTATAAGTATGTGTTTCTGTCAGATTTTAGGATTACTTCTCCAGATCTTCTTCTTGGGTTCTAGGGTTTATATCTGAGGATATTTTGCTAGTTTCCTTTAATGTTTTGATTGAGTATTCAACTCATGGTTTAAAGAGTATACATCAAAGGATTATTTGTTTGTTCTACACAAAAGAGAGAGTTGTTCTTCGGTGGATTCTGAAGAATTTGAGCCTGAAGCTTTGGTGGATTCCGGAGTGGCTCATCGTCAAGACAATTCTGAGGTGAAGACGGGGTTGGAAGAGGCACATAGAGGTTGGTTCCATTCGGGCGTGGATTCGCTAGGTAATTGAGAATATACCTGTGTAATTCCTTTATATTTTCTTAGTGGATTATTTTGTAACTGTTGTCTGTGTTTTTTTTTTTATCACAATTGGAGGTGTCCAATTGTAGTTTTTCCACGTAAAATCTTTGTGTCGATTTGTCTAGATCTTTGTGTCGATTTGTCTAGATTGTTTGATTGAGATTGTTATAAACTGCTTAAAATTGATACATAATTACAAATCAACATTTAGGAGATTTTTAGATTTTTCAACTTCATTTGGGAGAACTGTAGAATCTCTTAGTAACAAAGTATGCATTATTTTTGTGCTGCAAATATGATGGATGTCATACATGATTTAAATTTACAGAATGCCACGAATGAAGTGTTTGAATGCGGATTTAATTTTGATGGGCTGGGCATTTTTATTCTTTCTTTCCTTTTCTTAGTTGGCAAGACAAAAAGGGGATTTGGGTCCTTAACATTGAGGTTGAGAAGCACTATGCCATAAAGCTAGAAACTATTTAGGATGGATGGGTATTGTGTCCATCCTTTTCATTTAGAAAATGTGCTTCATAGCATATTGTGAGGGAATTCTAAGGTTTGATTTATCCTGGTAGTCTTGATAACAAGTTTAGACAAGGTTAACTTAGTTCATTAAAATTAACTTTTTTTGTAAGATGAATAGATTATATTTCCTTAGAAAAGTAATAACAGAAAACACTGTATTTACCGTTATGATCACGGTTTAGGCTTCCCTCAACCCCGAACATAACTTGTTCCTTTCCATGGTGGGATAAGGTCAGTGCAACATAGAAGGATTTTAGGATAAGAAAAGCCTAAACACCTAGAGAAACTTTTGTATTAATACAAGCTGCAACATAAATAAGAAAGTAAACATACAGATACCATCAGATTGAATTCATACAAGCACACAAAGGACTTTCAGAGGAAGTAAACACAACCTACAAAGCAAACCTACAACAGCTTGCTTGGTTCCCATTTTCTAAAAACAGTTTTTAGAAAACTCTATTTTTTTAGTTTTCGTGTTTTTTTATTTTTACTGAATTTTTTAAATATTTTATGCAATTTTTTTACTTTTTAGACACACCTAACATAAATACACTTAAAAAGTAAAAAAATTGTAAAAAAAATCTTTTAAAGATTCATTAAATACTAAAAATACAAAAAAATACAAGAATTCAGTACATTTTTTGTATTTTTATGTATTTCTTAATTTTTTAAAATATTTTTTCACAATTTTTTTACTTTTTAGATACATCTAAGTAAGGTGCATCTAAAAAAGTAAAAAAAAAAATGTTTAAAATTTAAAAAATATTCACTAAAAACAAAAAAATACGAAAATCAAAAAATTCAATTTTCAAAAAACTTTATACAGAAAACTCAAACCAAACACACTGATTACTTTTCTACGAAGTTCATGAACAGCTCACTTCAATTCTCCTTCTCCTTCACATTGTCGTCATCATTCTTATGGTATCCAGGCAGTTTCTCCTTGATTTTCTCCAGTATCCCTTTCTTGTCCTTTGTTTCGTTTCCGGGGGAGTTCCCATCTGCAGCACACTCGGGTGGAGGTGCTGCAGGACTGCCCTCTTCAGCTTTCTTGTGCTGACCGGGAAGCTTTTCTTTGATCTTCTCTAGAAAGCCTTTCTTCTCCTCTTGCTGTGTTGCTTCTGCATTCCCTACTTCATTGCAGTTCTCTAATGAACCAGATGTGTTTTTGTGCTCGTTGACTTGTTCTTCCTTTTCACTTGACATCTTTTTCTTAAGCTTCTCTTTTAGTCCCTTCTTTCTTTTCTTCTCTCCTCCTTCCTTGTCATCACTGGACTGAATTTTTTTCCAAGCAACAGGTTGATTGTGAAAAGACAAAGAAGATTAGTCAGCAAAACTTATAAGACAACTTAGCCAAAAAATTCAAACATGCACAAGATGCCACGTCTGGCAGAATCAGGCAATGTTATATCTCCTTTGGTACTCAGCTTATAAGCTAACTTATTGGCTTAAAAGAATAAGCTAGTGCTTAAAAAAACTAATTCGTTTGACATATTTTTAGCTTTTTTTGACTTTTCTAATGAATTTTGAGTGACTTCGTTTTTTTTGGAGAACAAGAATAGCCAAATGGCATTGGGCACGTTTGGTGTAAATTTTTAGATTAAAAACAGAATCTAAAATCTTTCCTCTCCTAGTTTCTAGATAATCAAAAAATTTATTTATTTTAAAGTTTATTTAAATTATTTTTACCTCGTAGTTATAAATAGTAGTTGCAAGACATAGATTTTTAAAATTAAAAAGTTATAAACATCTCCAATAAACCGCACCAAACAGGGCCTATGAGTGGTGATTTTGGTTGGATGACTAGATTTATTGTAAGTTACCGAGCTGGAGTTGCTATGAGACCAGTGGAGCTCTTCCATGAGTGTGTGTTTCTCCTTCATTTTGTCAGTTTCAGACACTTGAACTGTCTCGAGTACTATCATGGCCACATCCTCTCCAGGTTTCTCTTCTTTCTTTCCGAAGCAATCGAACATTCCACTGTCCATTGTTTCGACTGGAAGCTTTGTGACAGCCTCGCTCCCATGGTCTTTTGGGTGTGGTTCTGCCATCCTGTTAATCTCAACAAACAACAAAACAAAGCCAAAAAAAGGTGGATAATGACCTCACAATAGAAATAATTGCCTTGTAGTTATGCTTGGAAGTTGGGGTGATCTTCTAAGTTGGAAAGAGTTAAGCTTATATAGGTGAAACTAATAGGAACATAAAGGACTAATTAAATTTGATTACAGAGTATGGTGTAAAAACAGAGATATGCTTCAATTGTATTGCGTGCAAACCTGTACGGATGACGTTGGAGAGGGTTTTCTAGGACAACCCATGTCGGCTATTGGAAGGAGAAAACTAGGAAAGGTCGGTGTGGACGGTTTGCACTAATCAAGAGCTGTGGGTTGTATAATGACTTGTGGGAATGTGTTTGGGATTTTAGCATGAGATAGGTCATTGTTATGTTTGATGCCAGTTTTCATCACTCATCAATTAAGGTTCATCTCATCATGTGATGCAATATTGTAATTGATGTGGTGGTAGACAATTCAATGTTGCCAGTACTGCAATTCTGTGCATTTTTCTGTGAATATATATATATTGTTGTGTTGGTAGTATTTTTCTCGACATTATAGGAAAAACAGTGGACTGAGGGAACCTCCTTGGTGGAGCACTTTGGAAGATTAAAAAGATGGAAACAAGTTGAAGGGAACAAAAGGGAAAGGATATCTAGGAGGAATGAAGCATGCATGCAGTGAAATTTGCAAGATGATGTTGGGTAGCTCAACTTCTTGATTGTGGTGGCAATGGATTCCTTAGGAACTGACAAGTACCGAGGTGTCTGTCCTTTGTACCAATCTTGGTATAGATTAGGATAGTAGAAATACTCAAATGCCAAAACATTTTCAACTGCTATTTAATTGTTCATCTAAAACTTCAAGCAAAAGAAGTATGTAGCCTCTAAGCATCATAAGAAAACATTTTAAGACTGCACTTGGATCTTAGATGAGTACAAGGATTTTAATACTAGGATGATCATGTACTTTTACTAGCCTTTAAACCAGATCTGGAAGATCAAATCTTTTTTTTTAAGTACAAAAGATTTGATAAATGATTTGATCTAAAAATAAAACTTAGATTGTTAAAATGATTTGAAAATGATCAAGTCATATCTTTTTTCTCAAATCATTATCAAAGTTTATCAAATCAAAAAAGATCTAATTTAACAATCTTTTTAGATCAAATCATTTTCATCCTTGTTTTAAGTACAAATCTTTTTTCTTTTTCTTTTTTTAATTTTTTTTATAAACTTTTTTACGCTTTTCAATTCATGGTGTGGGGATATATTTCTTGGGTACCAACACGTGGCATGGCAACGCCGACGTGTTTGGCCGAGGTGCCACGTGTCGTGGAAATTACGCCGAGGTGATCTTGGAGTTGCCGAGGTTATCTCCGAAGATATCGGAATCCGAGATAAGAATAAGGGACAAGAGTCCTAGGACAAAGAGGGGACTTAGCAGAGATAAGGATAAAGCTCTTAGGGAGTTTATCTTTATCTCTTGAGAAATCCTAAGAAAGCACTGAATTGAAGTCTATAGAAGTCATGCTTCTAGTAGGACTTGGATTGAGTTAACCATAAAAGAGAGGTACCCCCATGGGTCTAAGGGACGCAGTTTTATACACAAGTTTGTGAGTTTAGCACTTGATTATCTTTGAGAGATATACTGACTTAATCGTCGGAGTGCCCCCGGGTGGAAGAGCCACCGCCGGAGCCCTTTCTTTCTGTTACAGGTTATTGGAGCCATCTATTCTGTCGGTGCTCTCCAGCTGATTACTAGGCAGGCAGTGTGGTAAGAAAATTATCCACACAATTTGGCGCCGTCTGTGGGAATCTTAGAAGAATAGATGGCCAGTGACGGACAAGGGGAAAAAATTGGGGCGAAACTCCTGCTGGGAGTGGTAGACCAATCGACCTTGATGTCGAAGGAGACAACCACAGTACAGAAAATCATAACCAGGGCCACGGAGAAAAAGACGTCGGCCAGGAGGGCGACGCTTCAAAAAGGACAAACCAAAGCAAGTACTACAACGAAGATAACCTTCAGGTTTGGAGGGATAGGTGCTTACGAAGGGATGAGGAAGTAAAAGACTTGGCAAACAAACTGGCAGACCTACAATCAGTGGTCAACTTCATGATGCAAAACAATGTTATGCAGCCACCATACCCGCTGCAAGATACACCGATGCCAGCGATTAATACCCAGAAGGGAGGAAGAAAAGCAATCCCCGAAGCCCCTCAGCACACCAGGAGTGCAAGCCACTCTCACCGACGTTCCAAGGAAGTCGGACGAGAGGAACCAAGGCAAGAAGAGTCTCGAAGGACACATCGCATGAAGGGTCCAGGGCCCAAAGAACATCGGCATGTTCAAGGGCAAGCGCTTTGCTTTGACACAACACATGGAGAGAGATCAAAACGACCCCACCACGAGGCCGAAAGCAGCGTGCCGAAGAAATTGAAATTAAAAGATAGCCGAGCTCCAGGAAGGAGTAAAGAGGACTTAAGAGATTACCTCCAGAGGAGGCAACAGAACGTTGAAGCCGAGATAACTTCCCCAATTAAGCCGAGGACACCATTCTCGGTGGAACTAGACAAATTTGAAGCACCAAAGAGATTCAGTATGCCGAGGTTCCAAATTTATGATGGTAAGTCAGACCCCAACTTCCATGTTGGACTATACCTGAACTCAATGGCGTTATACAGTGGAAACGAACCGTTGCTCTGCAAAGTATTTCCCTCATCCTTTGGAGAAATAGCATCCGATTGGTTCCATAAGTTGCCAAAGGGAAACGTAAAGACATGGGAAGGCCTGGCCGAGATATTTGTAGCCAGGTTTGTGACGAACAAACTACAGCCCTTGAGGGTCGACGCCCTGATGGCTTTAAGAATCACCAAAGAAGAAGGCCTTAGGGCCTACGCGAAGAGATACTACGAGGTGTTCAATCGAATACCCGAATGCAACCAAGAAGTGGCGGTCGTATCTTTCAAGAACGGCCTATTCGACACTGCTGCTGTTATCAACAAAACACTTAACACAATTCCTAAGCAACCTAGGCACAAATTAGACCACCACATTGCACTATTTGGCCTCGGCTTCTTGATCGTGATCCACATGAAACAGGGATAAGCATAAGTCAGAGGCAATGTGATTCCTCCAATAAGTGCTGCCAGGCTCGGTAAGAAAGGGAAAGCCATTGCTATGAAGTATGCCAATCCTCCAAAGAAGACTCGGATCCCGAACCGGAGCAACCTGGGGCATCGCGTCTCCTGCTTGATTGTGTACTGGAATTCCAAGTTGTCGAAAACCGGCATGGCGTAGATTTGGAATGAACACAAGCAATTTATCAGTACCAGTAGGTAAATTAAGCCGACCACAAACTTCGATGTGCTTTGCCCGTGGAACTTCGAGAATGTGATCAACATTCCTCCATCAGCAGGTATCTGACATTGTTAAATTACACTGTTATCATTTAACACAATTTCACACATTTGCTTTGCAAAAACACCCAACCCAAAACACACAAGTTTTGTTTGAATTTTAGATTTGTGGAAAGATTGGTGGAGAAAACGAGTCAGTGTGAACACCCTTTTGATTATATATATATATATTTTTTCAAGTATCTTTTTTCCTCCACTAATTTCTTCACAAATTTAATATTTAAACACAGCAAAAACAAGTACGAGGATTAAAAAAAACAAGCGTTTCTTACCGAATTACCATAAGCCCAATATCCACCAATTGCAAGGGGAAATAAACACATTGAGATTAGTATATATGACATTGTCACCCCTCTCCACATTGGCTCGCGCGATGGATGTTTTGAACTTGAAGGCATTGTCCCCTACATCAATAAACATTTTATTACTTGTTTAGCACCGTGACATGAAAACAGTAACATTTTTGCATGCAGTAATGTTAGGGATACAAAACTCAGTCACAGAAAAAGCACATATTTCATAGGTTGCACGAAATTTGGACTCGAATGAATCATTTACCTGTATTTCAAGCACAAGATTGTGACCTCTGAAAGCAAGAGCTATGATCCCAAGTGCAGTCAAGACACTGCGAGTTCTAGCTGTCTCTGATGATGCCGCCTTAGACGGGTCATGAGATGCACCATCGGGCCTGTCCAAGGAGATGGACAAAGCCCATAGCAAAGTACAGTATCCGACAGCTGTGATTGCTCCGATCAGTGAGACCCCAGCAATGGAATTCAAGTTAGGAAAGAACTGGGCTACAAAAATGGCTAGGAATGTGAAAACTAAGAACCATTCTGCGCCACTTGGTGTCCTTGCAATGCATGTCAGGCCATCCCCACATATGGTATTGTAGAACAGCTCCATAGTCTTGGCCCCTGTGATTATTAACATGACACAGGTGCCCCCTGATAGATACATAACTGGAAATATGGCTAGCAATTTCCCTAATTTTGCACCTGAAATCATTGAGAATATATGAATAAAATGCTTGGACAAAGATAAAGTTTATGCATTGATATGTAACAGCTTGTCAAGATGAATAAAACAACAAATCACAACCACACGCTGTCTAAATTTTCTAAGTTCATAGTATTTCTAATATTAAAACAACACTGTACAATAAAAGACACGTGCTTAATAGTTTAATATAGGTTGCATTGTGCTATATTATACTATACCTTAATCGATTGATGTTTTTAATAAATAAAAAAATACATCTATAGTATTATAACTGGGGTTAATTTATTACAATTTACAATTGTCATGTAAATATAAATTAAGTCAATGAGAATTAATTTGTTTTAGATCGGGTCAATGAGAATTAATTTGAACAAACAAATTAGGACAAAATTGAAATTTATGTACAAGTTCATTATTTATTTTCTAACTTTAACTTAAAAGAATAAATAAAATCATTATTTAGAAAGTGATAGTTGTTGACAGGTAGATGATTTTTTTTTTTTTTGAAAAAAAAGTACAGAAACACTACACATAAATATTACACATGGCCAGAATAGTTTGTAATAAATTTGTATAAAATGCATTTTTGCTATGTAAAAAAAAAAGCAAAAAATAAAAAAATAACCAACTAACTAACGTGAGATGCTTAGTCCGACAATCTGACCAATTCCGAGTGATGCATTTTATTTTAATAAAATGGTTATTCGGCAATAAAAGCTAACAAAACATATCAAACAATCAAGAAAAGGAAAAATTATGTGGCGGTTTTGCAGCAAGACTACATGGTACCCAACTTAATATTATTGATCGTGAGACCCAGTAAATTTTTTTTTTTTTTTGTTGTTGAGAAATTGCAAATATATGAGAAGAGTAACAAAATAATTGCATTATTAATAAGATATTTTTTTGTACAATGCTAACATACAAAAAAGAGTTGTATCAAAGCACATGAATAAATATGCACCATCTACATAGAGAGTTGCACTATTATAAAAGAGAAAAGTTAGGAATTATGAAAGTTTTTTCATGAAAATGATCATGAAAAATTTATGATCCTTGGATTACCTTGATTAGTGTGTGGTGTTTTATTCTAAGTGTAATTTAAAGGTTACAAAACTTTCATGGTTATTTTCATGAAAAATTTTTCATGATACCTAGCATTACTGATTATAAAAATGTCATCTTTTTTACCACTGCTATATTGAAATCCATTTTTTTCTATTTCTTGTCATGAAATAACTTAACAAATGTGAAGTGGCGTAGATTATTGCTCTTAAACCATCAAATAATATCTCAAAGAAAAGACACATAACATAAATCAATTTTAACGAGTTTTAAAATTTATTTTGATTCGTTAAATTTTTAAGTTGATCTCAAATGAATTTTTATTGAGTCAAGTTTGAATAATTTGATATTTTATATAATTTTAAATTTATTGAACTATCACTGACTGTTTAAATTTAATTTAAAAACCTTCACAAATTTTAAAATATATCTAAACTATTAACTTATTTTTTAATAAATCGAGTTGGAATGAATTTTTAACAACCCAAGTCAAACTTGGTTGTTTGATTTGTTTGTCACTCATAAACATAAGTAGACTTGTCAAACAGTCGGGCTGAGAAACTTGACTGTTTGATTTGTTTGTAACTCGCAAACATAAGTAGACTTGTCAAACAGTCGGACTGAGAGAATCGTTTTCATTTGTTTCTTGCAAAAATGCTTCCTACCCTCTCTAGGAGTCGACCCAGTGAGGCGTCACTTCGAGAATGGTCTAAAAAAAAATTATTATTTTTTTTTTTTTTTAAGTTTTCAGCCAGTGGGATGTCACTGGGGGCGCGACCCCCACTGGGGGTATGCAGCGGGACTGTTGTTTGTTGCAACGCTGCTACAGACCCTCACTGAGGGTCGATCCCCAGTGATGTGGCAGGTCTTTATTGGCCAGCTTTTTATTTTTTATTTTTTTCTTTTCTTCCAATCCTGCAGTGCCACGTGGCACTGGGATCGGTGAAAGTGGGGTTTACTGGGGTCCGGCGCATTATCAACATATGTGGTGTTTTAGAAAGTTTGTAAAAAGTTTATTTTTTAATTTTTTAAATTTATTATTTTTTTTTAGATAAAAATTAAATGAGAAGTGATATAATCTCAAAAAAAAAAAAAATAAAAGTTTATTTCTTTTATTTTTTATTTTTTCTCTTTCCAAAAATCATATGTATAAGGAAAATGAGTGAGAGCACTAATTAGTGCTATCATTAATGATGTGGCAGTGGGCTCCATCAAGAATGATTTGATGTTTTGGCCTTAGTGTTGCATTTTTTTTTTTTATTGAGTGTCATGTCATTAGTCATCTTTTTAGAACTTCAAAATTAATGATCTCTATCATTGTTGCTATGTATAAATGTCATGCTATTATGGTAGGGATACTGGGTCTAACCAAAGGCTGCAATGGCTAGGTGGAGGTATCTGCTGTAGCGAGTTCCAGGGGCAGACTCATGAAGATGGACAAGGACCCATATGGTGTACAGCTGCCAACCAAATGCCATTGACAAGCACACTATACCCCATAACCTGCATCCATTAAAATGGCGATCCCATTAAGGCCAAGTTTGAGATGACTAAATAAGTATATTTTTTGATTTTTCTTGTATTATGTGTAGAAAAAGTAGAGAGGATATGCTGATTGATGTGACCTAAAAAAGATAAAAAGATGAAATAAGTGCACTTTTTTAGTTTAGCCAAACTTGAAGTTAGCATGAATTAATATGCACCATCTACATAGAGAGTTGCACTATTATAAAAGAGAAAAGTTAGCATGAATTAATATGCACCATCTACATAGAGAGTTGCACTATTATAAAAGAGAAAAGTTAGGGATTATGAAAGTTTTTTCATGAAAATGATCATGAAAAATTTATAATCCTTGAATTACCTTGATTAGTGTATGGTATTTTATTTTAAGTGTAATTTAAAGGTTACAAAACTTTCATGATTATTTTCATAAAAATTTTCATGATACTTAACATTACTGATTATAAAAATGTTATCTTTTTTACCACTGCTATATTGAAATCCATTTTTTTCTATTTCTTGTCATGAAATAACTTAACAAATGTGAAGTGACGTAGATTATTGCTCTTAAACCATCAAATAATATCTCAGAGAAAAGACACATAACATAAATCGGTTTTAACGAGTTTTAAAATTTATTTTGATTCGTTAAATTTTTAAGTTGATCTCAAATGAATTTTTATTGAGTCAAGTTTAAATAATTTGATATTTTATATAATTTTAAATTTATTGAACTATCACTGACTGTTTAAATTTAATTTAAAAACCTTCACAAATTTTAAAATATATCTAAACTATTAACTTATTTTTTTATTAAATCCAGTTGGAATGAATTTTTAACAACCCAAGTCAAACTTGGAATAATGTTTTCCACTAATGGAAAATGTTAGAGGTCCCAAATTTTCTATCAAATAAATGACCAAATGTCTCACATGAGTGTGGAGCCCACAAAATTGCGGACCCCACACCCATGTGAGACATTTGGTCATTTGTTTGGTAGAAAATTTGGTATCCCTAGCATTACTCCCTACTAATTAGGTGGCAGTGGGTCCCGTCATTAATGATGTGATATTTTGGTCTTAGAGTTGTATTTTTTTTTTTTTTTACTTTTTTAATACATTAATGATATTAGTGATAATATTTTTAATGGGATGAATCATTGTTGGCCAAACTTGATTGTTTGATCTGTTTGTCACTCATAAACATAAGTAGACTTGTCAAACAGTCGGACTGAGAAACTTGACTCTTTGATTTGTTTGTAACTCGCAAACATAAGTAGACTTGTCAAACAGTCGGACTGAGAGAATCGTTTTCATTTGTTTGTTGCAACGCTGCTACAAACCCTTACTGAGAATCGACCCCAGTGATGTGGCGGGTTTTCATTGATTAATTTTCTTTTTCTTTTTTTTTCTTCCAATCCTAGGCACTGGGTTGGTAGAGGTGGGGTTTACTGGGGTCCGGCGCATTATCAACATATGTGGTGTTTTAAGAAGTTTGTAAAAAGTTTACTTTTTAATTTTTTTTATTTTTTTTTTAGGTAAAAATTAAAGGAGAAGTGATATAATCTCAAAAAAAAAAAAATTAAAAGTTAATTTCTTTTATTTTTTATTTTTTCTCTTTCCAAAAACCCTATGTATAAATGTCATGCTATTATGGTAGGGATACTGGGTCTAACCAAAGGCTGCAATGGCTAGGTGGAGGTATCTGCTGTAGCGAGTTCCAGGGACAGACTCATGAAGATGGACAAGGACCCATATGGTGTACAGCTGCCAACCAAATGCCATTGACAAGCACACTATACCCCATAACCTGCATCCATTAAAATGGCGATCCCATTAAGGCCAAGTTTGAGATGACTAAATAAGTATATTTTTTGATTTTTCTTGTATTATGTGTAGAAAAAGTAGAGAGGATATGCTGATTGATGTGACCTAAAAAAGATAAAAAGATGAAATAAGTGCACTTTTTTAGTTTAGCCAAACTTGACCTAAATCTTCGTTTCGTATTTGATTTTTGACTTAAAAAAATATAAAAAATTAAAATTAATTATATAAATTAATAAAATAAAATATTACATCTAAATCATAATTATATGTTTTTTTCTTATAAAAATTAAAAAATTAAAAAAGTTAAATCAAATTAGACTAAAAAATTCCAATACAAAAAAGTCAACTAAAAAGTAAATTAAATCAATATAGATATATATATATATATATATTGTAATTTTATAACTTTTTGAGAAAAATAATTGAATTTGAAATTCTTAGCAATTATTTGTCAGAGTCGTTAATAATATGGACATTTTTAAATATAAAAAATAAAATAATTAAGCAATTTGAATTAAATAATTAAGCAGTTTTTAAACTATTTTGAATTAAGCAATTTGGCCTCAATTAATTAAAATATGAGATAAAAAAAATAATATATTTAAAATGACTTTTTAATTTTTTAAGAAAAAATATAGAAAAAATAAAGAAAAAAAAATTTAATTTTTTGATTTAAGTTATAAATTTTTTAATTTTTTTAATAATATTTTTACTTTTATATTAAAACAAACACATATCAAATGAGACCTTCGTATAATAGAGCAGATATATGTGTAACACTATCAATCTCGCAACCATATGCTATTGAACTCTGTTAAATTCATTTAAGATAATAAAAAGAAAAAACAAAATTAAGTGATGCAGCCTCTGCTCCGTCACTTCAAAGTGAAGTCTATCTCCGTATCAGACCATTCTACCTAGCCTTCTTGCAAAGCAACACCAAGTTTGGTAGTTTTCGTAATTGTTTTTTCTTAAAAAATAAAACTAATTTAATAAAAAAATATTATCAAAATTTAAAAATTCATTTTCAGCACAAAAAAAAAAAAATCAATTAGTGTTCTTCATTTTATTTTTTTTGTCAATCTAGTTTTTTATTTTTTTTAATAAAAATAAAATTCAAGAATATAAATCAAGATGTGAAATCTGTGTATGAATATGATAGATCATATGTATATGGGGGAACATACCATCCGAGAGAAGTAAATGCAAGTGGAAGCAGAAGGGCTTGAACTCCAATTCCAGAACAGAGTACATGAAATGCAGAGGTAAATGCATTTCCATCTCTTGATTCTGTGATGGGTAACCAGGCTTCAAGTGGGTTGTTGTGCTCTGTTTCATGGCTTATTGAACCTCCCAAATTGGCTAACATGGTGGTGGCCTCTATGTCTCTGTCGTCGGGACTTGCCATGACAGTTGCAGTAGCAGTAGCAGTAGCAGGAATTAGTTGTATCATTTGCCTTTTTTCTTTTGTGGGTTTTGCAATTTGGTGGTGATTTGCAGCTTCTATTACACATACTTCACCCACTTCTCCCATAGCTGCCCCTCCACCTACTTTCTTCTTCTTCTTCTTCTCTCTCTCTCTCTCTCTCACGCAAGCACACAGACGCACACTCTTGCGTAAGAGTTGTTATGATTGTATATATATAGTAATGAGTTTCCAGTCACGGAATCAGTTATTAAATTGAATCACATAAAATAAAATAAAAAAATGCTTCACAGCTCTAAATTGTGAGCTTTAAAAGAGCTCCAACCTGGGGTTCACCGTGTGATTTAATGTTTTGCTTTCTGTTTGGTTTTTTTTTTAGGTTGTCCCGTCACTAGATCTTATTAGAGTTTTATTATTAAAACTCTTAATTATTACCGATAAAAAAATAGATAAATTATAAAAGAAAAACTAGTTTAAACCTCCGTTTGAGAAGTGAGTTAGTTTTTTGGCTATTTTAACTTGGGCTATTTTAGTCTGATTTGGGAAGGACTTTTTGACTTTTTAGCTTTTTTTGTTTTTTTTGTGAGAGGATTGTAATGATTATGGGTTGAATTTGATGTTTTGTTTTTTGTGGCTATTTTAGCCAAAAAAGCCTGACTTTTTTTTTCCCAAACAGAGCCTAAGATTTCTCTCTAATTTTTAGTAATGGGAGAAATTCATAATAATTTTTTTTGTAGTCTAAAGTCCCTTACCCACACTCATATATAACAAACTCTCTCATTCTCTTTCCTCTTTCTTCTCGCACCAAACAGCCCCTCTCTCTCTCAATCCAAAGTTTGATATAGAAACATAGCAATCCACAACTTCCTCATGATCTCTCACACTACAAAGCATCTGACTTTCATCATTTTCCTTAATCGCATAATCATCTTGGCATCGATTTATCACAAAATCCGATCCACTTCGATCCGAATTATCACATTCTTCAATCTAATCACTATCATCATTATCATTCAAATCTGCAGGGGCGTTGGACCTGTGAGAGTGGTGGCGAAGAAGGTAGCAGGGATCGATTTTTGGTTTAAAAATATTGAAGATGAACAGCTCGAGTTTACTCACGAGAGACACATCGCTCTTCTTATTCTCCTTCAATCTCAACAAACTTAGGGTTTTGAGAGTTACGAATTTCGCCAAAGAGCAGTAGTTGAAATAGCGGTGGGGCTGATCTTGAGCCTATGGACGCCGAACCTGAGGAAGTTGCTTCTGCCGCTGAATCCAATGATGCTTCAAAGAGATAGAAATGGTGATGATCGGTTTCAGAACTCCATGATCGGAAATAATATCTCAGATCTTGGTTTCTACCACCGCTCAAATCTTGATCTCATATCTCATATGTTTCTAAAAATGAGGAGGGAGAGAGAGAGAGAGAGATAGAGAGAGAAACAGATAGATAGATAGATAGATCGATAGATAGATAGATAGATAGATAGATAGATAGATAGAGGGATTTCTGGTGCTCTATTCTGGTGGCTTGATCTCTGGTTTAGTGCAGGTACTACTAATTCTAAAGATGCAAATTAGGAAAAATTTCTCTAGTTTGGTTAAATAATTTTCTCTAGTTTAAAATTGTGAACAAACACAGAGAAATTTGTGTTAAAATTTCTCTGGTTTGTTCAAAAGATTTGATCTTTGGAAGCTGAAGTTCTCTGATTTGTGAAAGGTTTAACGATTTTTGATTTTAGTCCAGAGATCCACAACATTATTTTGTGAACAAATGTTTTTTTTAATTTATTGAGGCTTTTTTATGTCAAATTAAGGTTTTTAGTTGCCAATTTTACTGTCATATGTACACATATACATATATGTATACATTTGTTATCTTCGTGTGATTCATGGAAAGTTATAATTATGATGTTTGTTGATGTTTGTCTGTTTGGAGAAAATGATTTGTATGCTAGACTGGTGAGAAAACGTAAGAAAATCGAGGCAAATTAAGCACTGAAATTGAAGAATCACATCCTAATTGCTCAACATATAGTCCAGAGAAAATGTCTTACAGTCCAGAGAAAATTGATCAAAATGAAAATGATGGTTGTTCAATTTTCTCTAGATATAGAACTTGTTAGTATTTTGTTCTGATCAATTTTTTCTGGGTAATTTTCTATGCCCTGTTTAATTTTCACTATGTGATTGTTCAATTTTCTCTAGATGTGGAACTTGTTAGTATTTTGTTCTGATCAAATTTCTCTGGGTAATTTTCTCTATCCTGTTTAATTTTCTCTGAATTTTTCTGGTTTGAACTCAAAGAAATTTCAATTTTCTTTAGGTAATTTTCTTTACCCTGTTTAATATTCTTTGTGTTGTTTAATTTTCTTTGGTTTCAACTCAGAGAAATTATTTGGGAAGTCCAGAATTTCTCTGGATAGTATTTCTCTAGAAAAAATTTCTCTGGATTGAAATTTCCCTGAATCAATATTGAGGGATCTTAGGCATTATAAAAATAGTGAATGCCTTTTATGCTATAAAATCTTAATATTAGGGACTCTAAAAAAAAACCCCAATTATAAATACATTATGGACATTTGATTAAAATATAAATTATTTCTTTTAGTTCTGGAAATTACATCATACCTTTTAAATTTTGTATTTTTTATAATAAATAATTTCTTTTTATTAATAAATTATCTTAACAATTTTTAATAATGTCAGAAATTTATTTTTATTAATAATTCAAATAATTTAATTATTTTATAGGAGAGCAGTTAGAAATTTCATTTTTCAATTAATGTTGTTAAATAAAAAAATTCTGATAGAAAAGGTATTTGTAATTTTCAAATTATATGAACAATTTATATTTTAAGAAAATCTTAAAAGGAAGGGGTGTATTTATAATTTATCCAAAATAGTAATAATTAAACCACAATGCACTCAATTATAAAAATACATTTTATTATTTGTGTAATTTTTATAGTTAACAGATTAGAATGTGTGAATTTATAGGTAAGAAAATTAAACTAATAAATTTATATTATTATATAAACAGAAATATCATTGAGTGTTTGAGTTTCAAAAGTGTCAATACAATTTTATCAATTTTTTGAATTTAAAAAATATTAAAATACACATGTTATTAAATTATTAGTTATTTAATTAATATAGTAATATATTTAACATTTAATCTTACTTTCTTTAAAACATTGGTGATTTGATCAATATGATAGTATATTTTTGACATTTCGTTTAAAACATTTCATATATATGGCAGCTAAGTAAAACATTTATATTTCAAAATGTCAAAAAAAGAAAAAAAAGAAAAAAGGTGCCATTATTGAGTCACTAATGAATAAGATAATATTTAAAAAAATCTCTTTAACTCATGCTCTTTTCAAAAATTTAATTTAATTTTAAAATCTATATCTATCTATCTATTTAAATTTAGCCCGTAAAAATATCTTGACCAAGATATCTTCTAAAAAAAATTTAGCATAGCACATGATAATTATCATCTAAAAACCAATATATCTTTAATTAAAACAAAAAAGAAAAAAGAAAGATGCATGAATTATTATAACTAAAATGCTAATATTAAAGTCAAACCACACTTGAATTGAAATTTTTTTAAATAAAAAGCCCAAAATGCAATTTTAGTTATATGAATTTGAAATCATTTAAAAAAATATTAGTCTAAAATGAAATTTTAATAATATTACAGTAATCGATGTGGCCTATTACATAACACTAACTCTATATATATATATATATATATAGAGCCCTTAAGAGGGTTTAGTTAATACAACAATGATAGAGAGCTCTAATTAGGAAGCTCTAATTAGAGCTCTAATGATGTAGCATCCAAACAAAATAAATAAAAAATAAATAAATAAAGACACACACATCACATCATAAGTGGGATCCACTTGTTTAAAACTCTCTTAGAGCTCAAGAATTAGAACTCTAAAATATTTTTCATAATTAATATCATGTAAAATATCACATCATAATTAATGTATCCAAATATATTCATGAGTTATTGAACTTTTCTGAATATTTTAAAAATAATTAAATAAATATTTGAATTTTAAGGAATAAATTAAAAAAATTAATTATCTAAATGTTAAAAAAGAGATGATTCTAATTTTTATTTTCTAAATAACAACTTTTAATTTATAAAAATTTACGCTAAACATGGCCAATATAAGAGTGGCCCTCCAATTGGCAACCGTAGACAATCCTAATCCAAAAAAATAGATAAATATAAATGATGAGATACAAAATTACGTATATACGAGGTTGGTTGTATACAAAATTACGTATATACGAGGTTGGTTGTATGTATGTGGAAACATATAGAGGGTGTGACGTGGGTGTTTTGAAGGTTTGAAAAGGAAAATTATAGAATATTTTCGGAGTATCATGTATTCGTATTTTTTAATTAATTATTATTTAATATGTTTTTTTATGTTTTTTAATTACTTAACATAATATTTTATTTATTTATATTTTTAATTAATCATAATATTATAGAATTTTATGCCGCCCGCCTACCTACATCGAAACCGCCCAAAGCACCGCGGGTAGGGTAGGGTCGGGCGGTTTGTGCGGGCGGGTGGGTTTGTTGCCCAGCCCTAGTTACATCCACCAATTAGGTTTTGTTTGAGAAGTGGGTTGGCTTTTTGATTTTTTGATTTTTTTGACTATTTTAACCTGGGGTTAAAAAGTCTGATTTGAGAAGGACTTTTGACTTTTTTGGCTTTTTTGTGAGAGAATGAATGTAATGATTATAGGTTGGATGTGATGTTTTGTCTTATAGAGCTAAAAAGCCTATTTTATTTTTTTGTGGCTAAAATAGCCAAAAAAAACCTCAAGATTGGCTTCCCAAACGAAACTTTAGTATACTAACTAGTATATCAACACTAGTTATGACATTATTATTGACCCCACTCATTATACAAATTATAAATATTAAAAAAAAATTAAATTATATTATATCATCAATTAATATATTAATTAATTCGTATAACATTATTTAGAGGTTGGCTTCCATGTGATGAATATGAATAGAGGTTGGCTTCCCTCTATGCTGGAGGATATTATTAGATTTGTGAGGGTCCATTACGGATTCCGTTTTAATAATTTAAATCGTTGAATGTGTAGAACTCGTTGAGTACTATATACTTGTAAAAAATCACGTCAATCGAATATCGATAGGTATGTGATCAAATCAGTTTTGTATTAAAAAAAT